TGCTTTTAAGATTCTGTCTTTGTCTTTCACCTTTGGCATTTTAATTATGATGTGTCTTGGTGTAGGCCTCTTTGGGTTCATCTTGTTTGGAATTCTCTGCGCTTCCTGGACTTGTATATTTATTTCCTACCCTAGGTTAGGGAAGTTTTCTGTCATTATTTCTTCAAATAAGTTTTCAATTCCTTGCTCCCTCTCCTCTCCTTCTGGTAACCCTATGATGGGAATGTTGGTATACTTGATGTCCCAGAGGCCCCTAAATGATCTTCAATTTTTTGGAATTTTTTTTTTCTGTTCTAATTGGGTATTTTCTGCTACATTATCTTCCGAAGTAATGATTCTATCCTCTGCTTCATCTAATCTACTATTGAGTCTCTTTAATGTATTCTTCATTTCAGTTTTTATATTCTTCATTTCTGACTTTTTAAAAAATGTTTTGTCTCCATTTTTATGTTTTTAATCTCTTTGTCGAAGTTCTCCCTGAAATTATTGCACATCCTTATAACCAGTGTTTTGAACTCTGCATCTGGTAGATTATTTGTCTCCACTTTATTTAGTTCATTTTCTGGAGCTTTGTTCTGCTTTTTCATTTGGGACGTGTTCTTTGTCTCCTCACTTTGGTTGCCTCTCTGTGTTTGTTTCTATATATTGGATAGAGCTGCTATGTCTCCCGGTTTTAGTAGAGTGGCCTTATATAGTAGATGTCTTGTGGGGCACAGTGGCACAGTCTCCCTGGTCACCTGAGCCGCATGCTCCAGGTGTGTCACTTGTGTGGATTTTATATGCCCTCCTGTTGTAGTTGAGCCTTGGTTGCTGTTTGCACATCGATGGGAGGGATTGACCCTGGGGCTGATTGGTTGTAATGACTGGCTGTGATTACAATGGAGGAGCTATTGTGCAGAATTCACTTTAGCAGGGCTCTGGTGATTGCCCAGTCTGCTCTTAGAGTGTGAGGTCTGAGGAGGCAGCTGGGTGGTGCTCCTGGCAGTCTGAAGCTGGCCACCGGCTGTGCCAGGTCCAGGGCCTGTAGGGAGGGGCCCAACCACAGGCCAAGTTCAGCAGCAGCCTGTGCCCTGCCTGGGACCACCTGGAATGAGCCACAAAGCAATCCACAGATGGACACCACCTCTGCTGGGCTTGGAGGTGCCTGGAAGAGGTCAAGCATTGAACCGAGATCTGCTGCTGCTAGCGCTGGGCTAGGGGCTGCTCAGCAAGAGGTATAGGGCACACCAAGGCCAGGTAATTCTTGTTTGGGATTTGTGAACCTTTGAGAGAGTTTAGGAAAATCTTCAGCATGAGCCAAGGCAAGCCGTTTGTATGGAAAAGCCACTGGCAGCGGCTTGGGTGGGCCTGCAAATTGGGTGGGGAAATCACCTGGGCAGGTGAATAGTTTAGCCAGGTTTGTGGAGACTCAGATATGGTGACCACCTTTGTATGCACACTGGGAGTGAGGAGGACTCAACAAAGGAACAGTGGCTCTGCCAGCACTGCTGTCTGGGAGAAAGCTGCCCCTCCAGTCCTCGTCCTGAAGCCAGACGACTCAGTTCCTCCCTGTATGTCCCTGGAGCCTTTTGAGCTGCTGCCCCAGAACTGGAGCACAGAGTGAGTGGGCCTATTAAGAGGAACACCTCAGACTCCAGCTGCCTCTCATCTCATTCAGCCACAATCTTCACTGGTTTTCACAGCCAGAAGTTGTAGGGACTTCTCTTCCCAGCACTGGAAACCTGGGCTGTGACCCCTCTCTCCTGAGGGGGTCATTCGCAATCGAGATATCCCTCCTAATTTTTAACAGCCACAGATGGGTGGGGGACCAGCCTGTTCCACGTATCCGCCCCTTCTACCATCTCTAGGTGGCTTCTTCTGTATATTCTTAGTTGTAGGACTTCCATTCAGATTGACTTCAGGTGATTCGCAAGGACGGTTGTTCTGTAGTTCAGTTGTAATTTTGATGTGATCATGAGAAGAGGCAAGCACAGCATTTCCTACTCCATCATTGACCATGCCTCCCCATGACTGTAGTTTTAAACCATTATTTATAGCCTGAAATTGTTTAACTAATATTCTTTCTACTCAAGTACCCCTTAAATCAGTGTGCCATACAGTGCCAGAGTAATTGCTCTAAAATGCAAATCTGTCCCTTTCACTCTTAACATCCTTCACGAGCTCCATGTCATTATCAGAAGAGCTCTAAGCTCCATGATATAGCACGCAAGACCTTTCATGTTCTGTTCCTATAACTTCTGCAGGCTCACATTTTGCACTTCACCTGCATATGATTTCCCAGAAGTGTTCAGCCTTTGTGTTTATACTCTGTGATTTCCTCAGGTCAGTGCCTTCTACCAACACTCATATCAGCTGTGCCTTCTTACATGAAGCACTCCTTGACCGCGCCCCTCCTCCAACTACTCTTGGCCAATGGCTCCTCCTTTGTATTCATCTACAACATTCTGCTTATCTCTAGCATGATGTTTATCTCTTCAGCTAGCTCCTTCATGACAAGAGTATGTGTATAGTGAGAATCTCTATTTATTAAATTTAACTAAATTGATTTTTTATTGAGGTAACATTGGTTTACACTAAACTGATTTTTAATCTTTTAGAACTTTCAATAGTGGCAAGCTTTTTCCAGTATCGGAGTCTTTGCATAATTAGGTCTGGAATAATTTTCTTCTCACATTCTTCTTATTTCCTACATAGCACACATTACAATTTTGAATTATTTATGAAGGTAGTGTAGCTAGTAGTTAACAGCCCAAGTACTTACGTCAGAATGCCTAAATTCAAAATGAAAATGGGTGACCTTAAGCAATTTTCTCACTTTATATGTCTATGTGCACATGCCTCGGTTCCTTATTTGTAAAATGGGACTAATAATCCTGATTATGAGGATTAAGTTAAATGAGATAATATGTGCTAAACAGACTTGTGAGTGGCATGTAGCTAATATTTATTGCTCTCTACTTAAAAAAATTGTTTTAATTATTGAATGTCATTTCACTGTAAGCCCCAAGAAGCTAAGGACTCTGATATCTTCTTCACTATTGTATCCCATGCCTAGCATGGCATACTAGTAAGTGCAAAATAAATTTGTGTAATCTGAATGGCTGAATAAATGACAATGCTTACTTTAGAATACTAACTGAAGATAAGGAGGGAACTGTGACTGCTTATCAGGGTGATATCAGAAGCCACATCAGTGGCTTTCTTTAATCAACAATTAACTTCCTAACCCTTATATTCACTTGGCTACATAATCAAGCAATTCGTTTTTTCTTTAGTTTAAATGAAAACACTTCAGTGAAAGTTAGATGAATGGAGCCATTCTTGAATTTTTATTAGAGGAAATTGTGCTCTTATTTACTTTATTCAGAACTGAGAGTATCATGCCGAGGACTGACTAAGAAGTTGTTGGAATAAACAAGCTCAGGTTAAGATGACCTTGCTCTGCAGAGAACAGAGAGAGTCTTAGAGTGATGTACTATGAGAACAAAATGACAAGCAGTATCAAAATGACAAGGCAATGTAGGTAGCTTTTTAAGCAGGTTAAACTCCAACAGTGATCCTGTAATTTATTCTTAGTGAAAACATTAGCTTCTGCCCATAAAAGCCATCTTATGATATTAGTGGTATAGACAGAGGAGAGGAAAGGACAACTTTTCACTTTTTAGTGGAGAAAGAAGTAAAGTTCTGAAAAAGAAGGAAAGTCTAATATCAGCTTCCCTAGGTTATAGATTTTTTTTAAAAATCACAAGACTTTCAACAAAAAGATTTTTAGAAATAAGTCAATGGGTAAAGGGATGAGATTAGTTATGCTGGAAAACCTAGGTTGAGGAGCGGCACAGTGGCTGAATGCAGTCAAGGCAGAAAGGATAACAGTAGTTTACTTAGTTCTCATCCTCTAATAAAGGCTATTCAAGTGGATGGTCAGGAGCAGAGCACTACCAGTTCCGTTCACACTGCCGAAAGCTTGTAAAAACCAATGGACCATCATGGTGGCCTTACACAACCAGAGCACTGAAGGCCCAGGGCCAGGGCCTTGATTTTCCAGCTCTAGAATCAGCGCCAATTCTTTTGGTGGCCAACTAAATATGTGTTAAACATTTTCATCCAGGGCCGGCCGAGTGGCGCGTTGGTTAAGAGCTGGCTTGGGACGCCAGAGGGCCCCGGTTCGGATCCCACATATGAGGGCCAGTGACACTGCCCTCTACAGCTAAGATGCTGAACAACAGCTCAACCTGGAGCTGGGCTGCTGTGAGTGTCTGGCCACAGCGTAGGCTGCAACCCCTGCTGCAGCGGGTTGCCATGGGCTACCGTGTGTAGCCAGCAGTCAGCGTGAGTGGCCAGCAGCCGCTGTGAGCGGCCTTCCAGAAGCCAGCGACTGACCTGCCTTGCCCAGGAAGAGCGCAATGGTGGTGCCAACTTGGGCCAGTGAAGCAACGTCCTCCACAACTAGACTGAAGAACAAAAAGGATAGCAACTTGTCTGTTCCCCTTCCCCCAATTCCCCAATAAAAATCTTTTAAAAAAACCAAAAAAGCATTTTCATCCACATTCTATACTTGTTCCTCTGTATCATATGTTGTTTACCATATTGCATAATCTTAAGGGCTTGGAAGTCATGACTTTGTGCAAAGCTCAAACATAGGCAGGTGGTAATGGTCTTAGAGGAGGAAGAGAAACAGGCTTCCTAGTGTAGGTATAGTTCTAGCCCACTAGACTAGAGAATCAAGCCACTGCATCTTAGTCCCTTTCTTAAGGACACTAATAGTGTAGATTCCCTCCTTGGCAAATGGCAGATGGCTTTCTAGTGCTTCTTGTTTACCCAAAAAAAGCATAGACCCCGTTATCCTCACAACCCAAATATTCCTTCTTATTTATAGTTTTGTATCTAGAGTTTTTCAATATAAGCCAGATGACAAAAGCAATTGTAGCTCCTTCCAACCCAATGAGAAAGACTGGAGGGCTGAGGAAAGGAGGAGGGGGCTCTAGCAGGGGTATACTTACCACTTTTTGGTTGCCTTCATTATCAGTGAGCAGCCATTCGATATCCAGGGTGTCTTTTTCTGGAAGCCCCAGTTGGTGATGACAGGGCAAAGTGACCTTTTCGTCTGCCACTTTCTTGATCTCAGTGTGAGTCCCCAAGATTCCAACATAGTAGGAAACTGAAAGAGGAAAACCTCTAATGAGCAATACAGAGACTGGATGACAATGTGTAGGCAGCAAATATTACAACAAATCATTATTGGATGTTCTTGTGAGCAAGGAGCACGTCAAGGTGTTGGAAGAATCCTAGACCAGAAATGCTAGAAGCCCCGGGGTCTCACACTGGCTCCTCCATGAACTGAATTCATCATATCTTCCTTAAGTCCCCCAAATTACACTTTTACTAATGCCCGTGTTTCCTATCTTATTGGGTTTTTATGAATGATGAAATTATTCAGGCCAACATCAGCTGTGCTTTTTTATCTTTCTCTCCCCTACAAGCAGAGGCTTCCAATAAGACAGAAACCAAAAGGGAAGACAGGGGTTAGCACCTCCCCAGAAAAGGCTCCAGATACGAGTTCACTCCTTAGAGCCTTCTTAGATAAACAGGTTGCCCTCACAGACCTCTGAGTAAGTGTAGGAGTGCCTCAGGGAAAAGTGGGCTCTTATGGGCAGTTCTTGTTTCCCTTAAGGACACACATTCTATAACCCCAACTTCTATCTTCCATTCTCTACAGTTTCATAATACACAGCTTCAAACTATGACGGGACACTTTCTATCCAAAGTGGAATGCTGAGTTACCACATTTGGATCCTGTCCCTCTATTGATTCAATGTCCCTTCAGCCAACAGGAATTCAGTTCCACTTTTGGCTTTCTTTACCTCCAACTTTCATCTTTTTCCAGGAATTGTACTCTGTCAGCAACTTTGGACTCCAAGCTCACCTTCTCTCCTTACTTTTAATCTCTCTTAGTACCTGGCTAAGACTCTGATTTGTTGACTATTAAATCTACAGTATTGATGACTGATGAATTGATATGATGAGACCCCACCTGGATCTAGGTATGATGTGCCTGGCATTCAAGGTGTGTGTGAGCTCTGGATCTTCCTTTATCTTCTTATACAGTAATAAAGAAGCTCAGCATAAAAAACGATGTTCAAGCCGTTCACAATGTAACAGAATCATACACCCTCCAAGTTAAAACAGCCCCAAGTGCCAGGGCTTGTGTGAAGTCCTCCCTCCTAGAGAGAACTCACTGCCACCCCAGGAGGGTTTTAAGCACTAAAAACCAAGGATCGTGACTAACAGAAACATAGAAGCTACCTCTCTTATTGCCTATTCGTTTCCCAAAATTGATTAGCAGCAAATCTGTGGGAAGGAAAAGGGCCTGTATTCTTGCCTGCAGGGAAATGAAACAAGGAAGAAGGGAGCAAGGGAGACTGTGGTTCGTTCTCTACTGGAGGGCTGATTGGCTGAAACTTCAGGGTTAGACCCCTCAGAGGCATCCACCCTAACCGCAGCGGTGGGTGGATTCCCAAGGTCCACGGCAAAGAAAGAAGACCATAGAAATATGCTGAGCATATGAAGGAATCTTCAGAACCAACAGGATAAGCACCTTATAAGGTCTTATTGACATTCTCAACAAGATTTTTGTTATTTCTGTTTAGAGTTTGACATCGCAATGGGAGTAGCCATGATTCAGTGAGCATTTCCTGTGGTTTGGCTCTAGACCGAGCACTCAAATCTATGAAGAAAGTATAACTATCTAAATTTATTGAGAAAATGTAAAGAGGGAGTTAGCAACTTGCATAATACCACACAGCCAGGAAGTGAGAGAGCAGGGGGCTCCACCCAGATCTCACTGCAAAGCTCATGCTTTGACAGCCATGCTACGTGCTACGTGCCCTGTGGTTTATGTGGCTTCCAGGATTCTGGGTTCTCCCTTTAGCCAGTAAGCTCCTTAAAATTCAGTACTATTCACCACTGCATTCCCATAGCACTCAGCTGCGGGTCTCACACACTGCAAGTGCTTCATAAATATTTGTTGGATTGATTTGAATCTAAGCCAAGCACTCATCTTACCAAGGAGCAAACTGAGGCCCAGGGGTAAAGGAGTCAGCCCAATGTCTTACAACTCATTTAGTGGCAGAAATAATCCATATAAAACCCATCCTCCCTCAGTCCCATAAAGCTGCTAAAGAGCAGCAGGGAAATTAGCCAGTTGGCAATGTATTAAGCTAAGCTTGTAAGGAGTTCTGCCTTCTATCCCTCTATCCATGACCACTTCCCACTAGACAACAATGCCCAGATGAAGCAAGGGTCCCATACCCTTTGCAAAGTTAGAGAACCCGCCACCACTTTGATGCATACAATAGGCACTTACTATATACGTTGAATAAATAAATGCAGACATCAGCTATGAAAATTGCCAATTTGAGCCACTAGAGGGAACCAAAGGCTCAGGTTTGGTTGCTGTCCCCAAAGGAAGGGAACATAACGGTGGGTGATGTGCTTTGCCAGAGCACCAGGTTCTATTTATGCCATACCCAGAACTACATACAGCAGAGCAGAGAGGGGGCCACTCAGCGAATACAAATTACTTTACCAAGGCAGGGAGCCTCAAAATCAGTGCATGCTCCTCTAGTCTTTCCTGAACCCCTGTTCCCCAGACTCAAAGAGGCCGCTAGGAACCCTGCAGATTTCTCAGGTCCTTCTGTTTTGTATTTTTTCCCACACACCCCTGCTCTGTAGCCTAAGCAGACAGGGGCCTGGGCTTTGTGTGTAACCTGGCTTGGCAATGCTCATGGGGGCCGCTGAGCATGGATCTAGCACCTGGTGGGTGAGCAGGAAGGGGCACTCCAAACACCCACTGGCCAGCTTTGGGTTCCCTGGGCATTGACATATTCATCTTCATTAGGAAAGACCTGAGAGATCTCCAAGGTTTAACTTATGAGGAAACTACAGCCTGGAGGAATCAAATTTTAAGTCACAAAGCTAGTTAGTGGCAGAACCACAAGTAAGGGGAAAATCTCCACTGGATGTTTGGAACTCTTGCAGCATTTGACGATGGGGAGAGTTGCTGGAAGGTGGTAGAGGGGAGGGCCGCTTCCATCTCCGTGGGCACATGCACAGTGTAGTCATGTAAGCCATGGGCTCTCCCTAAGTGAAGGCTTCTGCATGCAACTCAGGCACTTAAAAAACCTTTGGGAGCTTGGGAAAATGACCCTCTCTGAGCCTCAGTGTTCTCATCTGCAAAGTGGGAATTAAACGAGCTGAAGGTAAAGCACCTGGTGATGAAACATAGGCATCTCCCTCTAAAATGCTCTTCTCTTCTAGAAAGGCTTTTTCTCAGATGACTGCTGCCTTCAGTCAGTTAAGATTAGCTTAAGGTTTTGTTCTCTAAAGGGCATTTGCATTTATTTTTTATTTTTTTATTTTTAAGAAATATCTTGAATTTTCTTTTTAAAGATTTTTATTGGGGAATTGGGGAAGGGACACAGCATTGGGGAATAGGGGAAGGGGAACAGGCAAGTTGCTGTCCTTTTGTTCTTCAGTCACTTCACTGGCCCATGTTGGTATTATCATTGCGCTCTTCCCGGGTGACTCAGGCAGCCCAGGTCGAGCTGTTGTTCACCATCTTAGCTGTAGAGGGCGCAGTGTCACTGGCCCTCATGTGGGATCTGAACCCTGCTGCTCAGAGCTGGCGCTCTCAAGCCAACTCTCAACCAATAGGCCACTCAGCCGGCCAGCATTTGCATTTATTAAAGATTCTCTTGAACCTTCAAGATCTCCTTCAACGAGATGGCGCAGAGGTAACTTTTGTTTTTCAGCACAAATGCTTTGATATAACTGAGGGAAAATAAGCCATACATTTTGAAGATGACTCCGTTGAGAAGATGATAGGAAAATTTTAAAAGGTAATTTCTATAACCAATTGACTGTTTCATTTACATTAAAACATTTATAAGTGAAGTCTTTAAAAAATTTTCGTACGGAGAGCTAGCATTGTTTCTGTGGTCAGATAGATGTCTTGAATGACCCTTTCAAGGAAGTTCACTTAGTCCAATTTAATGAAGCCTATAGTCTTCACATACTGACGGAAACACTGTTTCCATCACATATTGAGGCTGAATTTGCAGATAGGACCGTGTGGGTTTGAGCAGATGTGCCCGGAGTAAGAATGCTGTCCAAATTTTCTCAGATGGCTCCCAAGAGAGCCACTGGTGACCCATCTTGCTTTCAGGGTGCAACAAAGCAAAAGGCCAAGGGTAACTTTTAACGGAAACTAGGATGCTGCATTTAAAATATCCATTTCTCTATTCCCCTAACAGAGAATTATACTTCTCAAATACTTATTGAATGCCTACAGGGCACAAGTTTCCCGGGTCTGACAGTTAAGTCTACATGCTTACTCTTGCCAAAGAATGGATTCTCCAGTGCTGCCATCGTCAACACAGGCAATCAGCATTCCCCAGGGCCCCATCTAGAAGAGGCCACGGTGTCACTGGTGGCGAACAGGTGGGTTGTGTTTTAGAACTGAGTTGTTGTTTACCAAACTGTGTGGACACATAGTTTACAAGTAACAAAGTTAGAGAGCCATAGTAGTTACTGCTGATGTCAGGTGCAGGAGCTGGGCCGCCACACTATTTAATGTACAGCAGGAAACCCACTAATGGGTGATTGGGATGTGCAAGCACCTCCTTTCATTATTCGGTGATTGCACTTTTCTCAATGGACCTGTTCACTTACCTGAAAGGGAAGAGAATTTTCTTGTGTTTTACTGTGCATGGAATAGTCAAGAAAGCCTCAAGAAAATCAAAACCATCAAATGCCCATCAGAAAAATAAAGAGGACATTGGAAATTTTAACATCAACTTCTCTCATTTTTTAGATCAAGAAATTGAGGCTTAGAGAGAAGTGACTCACCCAAGGCCTCCTGATTTCTAGAGTAATATATATAAAATTCTGTAGGGGTGCATGTGTGCAGCATTTACTTTCCAGACTGTTTCTGGAACACTGTATGCAATTCAAGATACAGCATGATGCAACAGAAAGATTATGAGCTTTGGAGTTAGACAGATGGTAATTTAAGTAGTGGCCAAAAGACTAGTGAATTTCCTTACTGCTCTGAGTCTTTTTCTTCTCTGTAAGATGAGCATAAAAACATCCACTGTAAGATAGTTGTAAGGATTATATATGATGGATGTAAAGTGTCTGATGCTGGCACATGCTATATAGCACATACTCAAAAAATGGTAATCATGGCCGGCCGAGTGGCTCAGTTGGTTAAGAGCTTGCTCAAGAGTTTGAGCTCTGAGCAACAGCGGTTCGATGCCTGGACTGAGCTGAGCTGCCGCTGAGCTGCCAACAGGTGGCAGGATGGCTCAGCTAAAAAAAAAAAAAAAAAAGTAATCATTATTACTAATAAGCGTACATAGTAGTTTGAGAGATAAGAAAACATGCCAAGGAGGTGAAACAGAACTATCTGGAAGTAATTTTGTTTGATAACTGTTAATATTTGGCCATATTTGCTTAATCTCTCTCTCCATATGTGTGTGTGTGTGTGTGTGTGTGTGTGCGCATATATATATATATATATATATATATATATATATATTTGTGTGTGTGTGTTTATTTATTTATTTTTAAATTAGTTTCAGGTGTACAACACAGTGCAATAGTTATACTTTTTACCCCTCAAAGTGACAACCCCCTCCCCCAATCCGCCACCCCACTCCACCGCCCATATCATACATATCTATTACAATTCCATTGATTCCACTCCCACACTATACTCCACATCCCATGGCTATATATATATATATATATATATTCAATTATAGTTGACATACAATATTATACAACATCAGCTTCAGGTGTACAGTGCAATGATC